CAAAGTCCCCAAGGTCACAACTCCTTCGATGAAGGAGACTCCACAAAAAGCACATCATACCTGAGTTCAGGAAGCACCAATTGCTTTCATTCCCAAAGCTGGTGGTGAGAAGCACCTGAATCATGGCGTGTCGATTGAAGGCCCCTGCGGTCAGCGGGAGCTCCGGCCCATCGTGGCATCGTGGAGATCCTGTGCCAGTCGGCTCCTCTGTAGCCCCTGTGGTTTGAGTCTGCCAGCCACAAGAAGCCATACACTGTGATGACATAGAGAGCGCAAGAGGACCATCAGCTGATCGTTCCTCATGGGCACTTGCAAGCGCCAGGGAAAGGTCTCGCCCTTTGCCTTCGGGCTTGCCATGGAGTTGAATCTGATGACATTCTCGGTCTGACTCATGGCGCTTCGAAGGGCCGTGAGTTTCTGTTCCACCTCCTGGCGGCTCAGCGGCTGCTGCGTCGGTGAAGGAATGAGCTTCTCCTGAGTGCGGTCCCACATCAAGTAGGGCATCGAGCCCTGAGGAAGCAACAAGTTCGAGTCCAGACTGGCCTGCGTGAAGGCTTCGTCGGTGAGCTTGGTGCAAAAGTTGGAAAAGCGTTGAGTCATCTGGTCCATTACTGTCTGCATCAGACAGGCCCGAAGGGGCTTCTGAGGCTCGCTCTCCTCCTTCCAGTCCTTCCCCGCTTGGAGGAGTTGCTGGACTATCCCTTGTTGGCCTCTGTTGAGAAACAGGATAAAGCTGTCCCGTGAGTGGATCGACTGAATGGAGTCCTCGTGGCGGATCAAGATGCGAGCCATCATGTTGCATAGTTGGTTCAAGTTCTGGTCCCTGTGAGGGTCTGGGGACCTCATCTCGGCTTTCATGCCCCCTCGGTGGAACATCTTCCTGATCTTGAGGTACGAGCATATTTAAGAATGCTGCCTGGAGCTGGGAGGTGCGATCGGCCTCGGTGAGCCGTACTTGTTCCTCTCGACGTGCCATAGGGTCCGAGTTGAGCAAGGATGAGGCACAAGTTCAGGATGGTGGGACACTTGTGCGAGAGCTTGGCCCAGGCGGTGTTGTCCTCAAGCTGGTATGTGATCTGATCAGCTCCACAAAGGGTGCAGGGGATGCCAAGGCCTTGAGCCCTCACGTGATGGCTCACATACAAAAGCAATTGCGCAATCCGGCTGGTCAGATCACCATGCTGATGTGAAAGGTGTTCCAGCAGCATGTGTGGTGTACTGAAGGTGCGATTGCATGCTGAACAACAGTGGCTTAGGGCCTTGCAGGTCAGTGAATCCATCCACAGCTTGTCGAAGGTTCGATCACCAATCCAGGTAGCCAGGTTGGGAGCCTGCGCCAACAACTGAGGATTGCATGCGAGAAGTTGAATGACGTCGTGTTGGGCTGTCTCCCAGGGAACCAGTACTTGAAGATGACCTGGGTTGAGGACATGATGAAGCATGGCTGTTTGCCGGTGGGCCATACATCGATGACTGCGTCGCTGTTGTGCAGTAGCGGGATTACAACAACATCCCGGCTGAGTTTCTTCAAGCAACGCTGTGAAGTTCTCGGCGGCCTTGTGGAAAGGGCCATGCTGGGTCAAGATGCGCCGCATCAAGTCAGCAGATCTTTTCAGGCCTTGGCCGCACATCGTGCACGTGATGGTGAGCAACATCCGGTGGTTGGCACTCTCTATGAAGCGATGCCATGTACCCCACAACAAGGTCTCTAGCATAGTCTCTTCTTTCCTGAGTATCCCCTGTTGGTCGGCCAAATAGTCAATGCAATTGCACGAACCTCGATTGATATGCCGTTGGAGTTCCCATATTTCCTTGAAGTCGGTTCCACAATGTCGACACTGTGGGTTGCCTCTGACCGTGTCCCGAATGCAGCTGAAGCGAGTATGCTCTGTCCTCAAATGCTCAGTAAGCTGGGCCTCTGATGGGAACGTCTGAGCACAGTGCAAACAGATGGTAGCGGAGCGCTGGGATGAATCCATGTCCTGAGAGGCAAACAGTGAGGCCAGTTGAAACAGCGGACTACATTGATGGGTATGCTCCCGCCATTCCTGGGGAATAAACGGGGGGAGTGACATTCCACCATTGCTGCAGCAGTAGCATCAACTTCGAGGCAGCAATATCAGCCGTTCCAATTAGAGAGAAGCCTGGACTTTTATGCGGTGCCATCGACTTCATGCCCTTAGTCCGGCGAATTGTCCTAGCAAGATCACTCTCACTGAAAGGAACGCCTGGAGCTGGGGCGGTTATCGGATCCATGGGTGCACCATACCATGTGTTTGAAACATAACGACAAAGCACCTGGAAGGACTCAGTTGGCCCGAGAAGGTGGCCCTCTTCCGATCGAAGCTGAATCCTGTCGGGTTTGGTTTTGGGTGTCAGTCTGTTAATGATATGGTATAACCGACTCATGTCATGTTTACGGGCAGCGTCCTCAGCCGAGTCAAGAAGAGACTGCAATCGATCATTCTTCTTCTGTTTCAGGGCCTCCGAATGTCGTTTGGTCCATGTTTGGTGCAGCTGAACGAGTTTCCAGGCCTGAAAACAATGCTTCACACTACTGCCCTGGAGGGCCTGCAAGGCTCTTCGAAGATCCCATTTGGTCCGAGCAAGCCTGGCATCAAAGTCAGTCGTGGGTGATGCAACAGGGGAAAAATGGGTTCTGAAGAGTCCGGTGAGGCCTTGGTGAATAGGGGCAAAGTTGCCATCACTTGGCCACACAGTGTCCTCCAGAAAGGCTTTGGATGCAGTGCAAAAATCATCCCATCCAGGCTGGTTGAGTCTACGTGCCAAACGACAAGTCTCCTTAGCGGCATAGCCAACAGTCGAAAGCGTGCAGCCTTGCTGGCTTGACCACCTGAGTGGAACATTTCCAAGGACAGGGAAGTGTCCTTGTGAAGTCACAGGAAGTGGCGGCCAGTCCCTGAGGGGAGTACATTGGCGTGCCATGGGATCCGCCTGACGGGATTTGGTACATATGTAGTCAATCCGTGACCCGTTATTCATGGAGGAATAGTATGTGGCAGTGGAAGGGCTTTGCCATGTATTGAGGGCAACAATGCCATGATGCTGCATGATGGCCTGCAAGGTGCCATGGTCAGCATGGACCATTCCCGGATTGTGGCTTCCATCCGGGTTGAGGAAACCCGCATTGCCTACCGTGCGCCGGTCTGCATCGAGACTGGTGTTCATGTCTCCAGCAATTACGAGTTGGTTCCTACTGGGGAAGGTGGCCAAGGTTTCATCCAAAAGGCTGAACCATTGTTTCCTAGCCCCCTTAGTGACATGGGTGGCATGGTATGCAAACTGGTAGGTACACAGGACATCTAGTGCACGCTCTTGGAGATACAATCTAAGATGCAGCAATCGTCCGGCATGCAATGCAGTCCATCCAATGTTATCTATATTACAGAATGAAGATCGAACACATGCAACAATGCCACATGACCGATACGGAGTGCCTGATGTCGATATGCAGTACCAGCCTTGCTGTTGCCAAGTTCGACTTCCTTGCCACCTTGTCTCAGTTAAAATCACCAGCTGGATGTGTTGCGGTCCGGCCCATTGCAGCACTTCGTGCAAGGTGGCATTGGACAAGCCACTAGCGTTCCAGGTCAGGATTCCACATCTCTTCCTGAGGTGCCGGGGTTCGGTCATACTCCATTGGTCAACAGAGGTCGAACTCACTTCAGGCTTGGGAGACTTGTGACGGACATGACAGCGCTGGCATCCTAGTGAGTGAGGAGTGGCAAGGCGGCCGTGGTACCAGGTATAGCCCCACTCAATAGCTCGTTTTTGAGCCCTTCTGAGACTTCGCTTTTTGTTAGTCGATCCTCTTTCGATCACGAACGAGGAAGATGGGATGTCATGTTCTTTCGTGGCATCATCAACAACATGTTGCAAAACGTTGGACAGTGCCACTTCCGTAGGTCGCATGACCGGCCTACAACCCTCGCCTCTAACGTTTGGCCGACAAAACATGGGTGGATGCGAGATGGCAAACGTTCCTCGGACTTGGGACCGAGGCCCAGTCAAAGCCTGGTCTGTGTTAATGCGATTGAGCGGCACCAAATCTCCAAGAAACGGAGGTGCAGTCAAAAGCACCAAGGACCAGAAGGCCAGACGCCACATCAGCTGCGGCAGCAGCGCAGCCAGCGCACACGGCGGCGCACAGGCGTCAGCACTCCATGATCGGAGCGGCCGACCGGTCAGACCTTGGCAGGCCTTGTCTGAGAAAGGCTTAACAACAACAACAACAACGGGGCTGCAGTTTTTGTCTCTAGTATGTGGTAGAGGTTCTAAGTAGAAGTTTTACAGAGGCTTAGCTGACCGGACTACCACCACTACTGCTGCTGCTGCTACTACTACTACCACCACTACCACTACCACTACCACTACTACTACTACTACTACTACTGCTACTACTACTACTACTACTACTACTACGACTATTACTACTACGACTACCACTACCACTACTACTACTACTACTACCACGACGACGACGACGTCGACGATGACGACGACGATGACGACGACCACGACCACGACCACGACCACAACGACTGCACTAGTACAAGCACTACCACTACTGGTAAAAGTACATGTTGGCTGGTTGTTTTCGGGGGGGGGTCAAAATGACAACGACGGGGTTGCAGATTTTGTTTCCACCCCCCTTGTAGAGACAAAGGAACAAGATATCTTGTAAGCAGTTTTTGTTTGTACCTTGTTGCTGTTGTTGTTGTTGCTGTTGTTGTTCAAGGTTCTTTCTTATGTGTGGTTCCTGTCCAAGTTTTCCTATTCCTGGCCTTTGGACTGAGAGTGTGGGTTTCTTAAAGATTTGTGAGGCGCAGATAAAATGCCCGCTAAACAGGATGCGATGACAATGGCTTTAAACATGTGCCAATGTTTCTCTGTGTGTGTGGGTGCATATGTACATATATACATGTAGTTTCTTCTTGCCTGGCGGTGCATTCCTCAGCAGCCTGTCCTCCAGCTTGTCCATGGCTTCACAGCCGTCCACTGAATTTTGGTTGAAGCCACCAATGCAGCAAGTGCCAAAGGGATCAGGGCTGAAATGGCATTTAATGTACTTGGAAAGGTCCAGGAAAAAGGAGGGTTCGACTAACTGTGTTCGACAAACTGTGTTAACACTTGTTTTACTGATTTTGAACATCAAAGATTAAGAGAAACGTTTCAGTTCAAGATGTTTCCCCCGTTGAAGAATCCAAGACGGCATTCTAGCTTCCGGTCCGTCGATATATATATATATATACAGTATATATATATATACCTATATAATGTCACAGTCTTTTCACCCACTGTTCAGCGATCCAAGTTGTACTTGAACTTGTTGACCATCACTTCGACGTTGTCACCAAGCACTTTCGGGACGCGGCCATGCATTTTCCCGATCGTGGTGCTTTGAGCAGGCCATTCCCGAGTTGCTGCAGTCTCCATCAGAGTCACCCATTTGGGAACGAGACGATTTGCCCGGGCGCCGGGACCGACAACGACATGTCATGACAAATCATGATCATGAGATGTCAACGAGGTTGATGCCAGTCCTGGAAGACGATGTCCTCCTCTTTGAAGCAGCGGAAGACAGTGACGAGGCAACTTGTGAGGTTACAAACATCCTCAAATCCAGCGATCAAGATTGTTTCCTTGGTGACACTCGAATTCCTCAGTGGCCGACGAGGAGACTGCAGAGACATTGCCGAGTGCCACAGGGAAAGGCAAAGGAGGTGCCAGGGAAGTGTCGCTTTTCTGACTCAGGGTGGAAGCCATGGAAGCCAGGGTCAATTTCTGGATTTCCAAGTTTTGCCCTGAAATGGGCTTTGGGGAGGCGTTTGAGCGATTGACGCCAGGCCCTGAGAAGGGTTATATAGTTGCAGTTCCTTGGCCTTGTGCCGCCATGATAGCAAGCAAAACGATTTACAAGCCACTGCAGGACTTTCCTCCAAAATAACCCCGTGCTTGCCATTGCTGGTGGCTCAAGCTTCTCAGAACAACAAGAAGCAGCTTCATTTTGTCTCAGCAGCTCCTTACGCTTGGGACCATGGCACTTGTGGTGCTAATGGCACATGTAAAATCTCACGTTAACAGGCATAATTGATTCTCACAGTAGAACCTGGTTTTGCCCGTCGCTGCTACTCAGTAGCTGTTGTTTCGCATGGCAACCTTGGGCAGCCCAGTACAATTGAGTTTGTTTTGCCTATATTATTGCTGTATCTTTCCAGTGTATCAAGTTTGGCCGCCTCAGCAGCACGACTTACTGTAGATGTATAAAACTATATATATATATACCTATATATATATAAATGGTATCATTTGCCATACTGCATATCTCTCCGACATCCATATGTTAGCGTGAGGCAAGGTAGAAGTGGATATCAACCTGCTGGTGCAACTTCAAGAACAACTCATCCAGAGTGCCAAGGCCACGTGATGCCACGTCAATTTTCAAAAGTTTCGGCATGTGTTCAAGTCACAAGACGGCCAGGCCATTGGTGAGCAACTGGAATCGACGGATTTGGAGGCTCCACTCTCAAAGGTCAAGCGAGTATCACAGGTATCTACCGATGCGACAATTCCAAATACTTCAGCGCGGAGCTCAGCTTTTGAGGCTAGGGATGCTACCATAGTGCACAAGAATCAAGTTTTGGAAGCTTCATTGATCTCACTCCTATGGCCCTATGGGCCAAAGTGGAATGACCACGAGGTGCAAGGCTTTTCAACCACACCTCGCCTGGATGAGAAGCCAGTGCCTTGCTGAAGTTTCAGTGGACCAGCTGTTTTCTGTGTTCACCCGTTGGAACTCAGCATTTTGGTGTACTGCATATGTTTGGGGCACTCCGTTCAGGAAAAGTTTGAGCTGCAGCCAAATGGTGTGCCCATGCTGACCACCACGGCTCCGAAACGGCACTCCATGCTTTCCTCCAAAAGCTCGGTCTCAAGCATAACCTTGGAAGATGCAGGCGAGGCTCCAGCATTTGCTGCGTTTGTGTGTTACATTGAGAACAAAAGCCCTAATAGTGCCATGCATTGACTCAAATGCTGCCAGAGGCTGCAGCCGAATGCTGGACGAGTGGCGAGAGAAGTTTGTGCTTGCCCAGCAGGAAGCGATTGACATCTACTCGGAGATGCATCGCTCCTTGCACGTGCAAAAGCATGCAATGGCGATTGAATTGCAAACCCTTATAATTATATGTATGAACCATTGGTGCTTTGGCTGGGAGGGCTAGGTACTGTGGTCAAGACGGAAAGCGAACCACAGGAGGTGACCATCCTGAGTTTGTCAAGCTACAGGATTTAAACCAGAGACGACGGTTTTGACTTTTGACCCACGGGATGGGACTGAGTCTGCCAATGGCATTCTTTCGCTCTTAGGGACACCTTATAAAGTGTTTGTGTTTCTTTCTTAATCAGAGTGCTTGTTACTAGTAGCTTCTTGTTCCTAGTAGTAGGCCAGGAGCCCCTAGTAGCGTCCTTGCTCCTTAGTAGCGATGCCCTTTGTTGCTAGATAGCAGGGTCGTTGTTCGTACTTTCAAGGTCAAGACGCCACCCCGAAGAAAGCCTTCACGCGGCGGCACAGCCACATTGTTTGGACGTTCGAGGCAAGACAGTGAATCAAGATGCACCAATCAGATCATCAAACTGAAAACGCAACACAGAACATCTAGGAGCACTCGCGTCAGGGTTTGCTGCCAACGGCCAGCGACTTCAATTTGGCAATTGCTTTCAATCCCAAGGCGTGCTGACCAGCGTTCAGAATCCCACAGTATCAGACACATGAACCACCAAATGATGAAATCATGCATCATCATTGGCACGACGAACCGATCAACCATATTGAAGAAGCATAAATTCAGTCAGAAACCAACAACTTGAAATGAACTTCACTGAACTTCACCATGGGAAGTTCAGTGTGGATGAACGGCCATGATGCGGAACAGACGCTTGAAACCTTGTTTCCAGGAGTTGCTGCGATTGTGGCGGTTGACCTGGGACTTTCTGACCATTGTTTTGGTGGCCATTGATGCGTTTGTTTTGCCCATCCGCCTGGCATGGCCAGAGCGTTTTGCCGACGGTGGCTATGTGCAGAGTTTCTACCAGGCAAACGCTCAGCGGGTCACGGGAACGACCCCTAGCGGGCCACACGTGCCCCCCTCTTTGGGCGTTTTGTTTTTTTGAGCGGATTCCGTAAGGCAGGCACTTGCTCCTAGTAGCTTTCTTGTTACTACTAGTAAGGTACCTGTTCCTAGTAGCGTGGCACTTGTTTCTAATAGCTTCTTGTTACTACTAGTAAGGGAGATGGACGAAATGCTGAAACCCTTTACCACATACTCGTACACTTCCCCCATCCCCCAAAGCTCAATGTTGACAGCGTTTCTGGAGACTACTGCCGAATGGACGAAACTCATCAAACTCCAAAGGTACTGTACCAAAAACATATGTTCAACCTGTAACATTCAGATTTGGGGTGCGAGGTCAATGGAGTTTTGGGGATTTCATCATTTTGTCCATTTACTGTAGTCTCTCAGCGGCTGCATCATCATCATCATCACCACCACCACCATCATCGTACAGTATGCAATACTGTTGGGGCAATGTAGCAGCATACCCACACATTGCCAGAATGGTAAGTTGACAGGTGACTCCAGTCTTTTGGGTCATTGACATCCTGATGAACTTTGCAATGGCAGCTCTTTCGCAGAACAAGACGAGAGTTCTCCTGACATATGCCTGTGGGACACTCAGTTTCGGCTGCAAGTATTGGCTTCGGCCTCTCACTTTGTCAGATTTAGATGGCTTCATGGACTGCCACCAGCGGTTCCAGAAACCAGATGCAGCAGTATTCTGATGTGTAGCGTGAGTCGTGACACAGCGGACATTGAGGTACATGGCTTTGGTTCGATGTTGGTTTGGTGGTCTTGGATTTCGTCCTTTTGCTGCAGATGGTGCCAGAGACCTTCAAGTCCTTGACACTCCTTCGGTTGTTTCGATTTGCCAAGTTCAAACACGTCCCTTGGAGCAGTTGGAGTTCATTGTTTATCAAATCACCAAAACATTTATATGTCATATGTCCAAGGATTCTTGTCATCGTTTGGTTGAAGTTCAAGTGTTTTGTCCTTCGTTTTATGGCCGCACAACACAGAGACTCGAAGGTGTGCATCCGTGAACTTGACAGTTGATAATCTGTAATCTGTACACTGTAATTTAACCATGTTTGAGGCAATGGTAGAGTTGGAGAGTTTGCTGGAAGCACGAGGGATGATTCGAGCGAAGCACATCTCGACGATTCTGCAATGTGTGATCTTCATTTTGGGTGTGAACCATGTCTTGGCATGCGTCACGGTTTACGTGGCAAAGCGAGAGCAGTTCTATCAGCGTGTCAACTGGATGGACGAGAATCAAGTTATGAGCAACGATCTGCTTTTTCAGTATATGAGCCTTGGGTCAGACATGTGTTGAATTTGGGCAAAGTGTCCCAGAGAAATGTTCAGCAATGGGTAAGGTGGTGTTCGCTCATTTCTTTTGCTTTTCGGTTGGGTCTATATAGCACCAAGGATCTCCTTCAATTGGGTGATTGCAGAGCGGCTTGGAAGCATGCAACATTCAAGCCCTCCCACGTTTGCAAGTTTGCAAGAAGGCTGTGCCCGAGGTACACTCCAGCACCGTATCCCTTTACCGCGACCAATGAGCTGGAGCAAGGGTTGGTGCTGGCAACTTGACTGAACTGGATGACAATGCCCTTGCAAACGTCAGTGTTTGGGAGGCCATCATCCTGACGTGTTTGCCCATGCTGGGAGCACAGATTGGAAGCTAAGTTTGCAAGCATCGGCATGCCTTGGACTGTTTAGGGCCGTTGGCAACAGCATGAGCCATTGTTTGGATACGTTTGGATGAACCATTGCCTCAATGCCTCGGCCTACCTTGTCAATGTCCTGAGCCTGATAGTGCACTGGCCAGCCCACTGTGCCCAAGATCAGGAATCATCAGCGGCACCTTGACTAAGATGAATGAGAAGAGCAAGGACAGATGGGAATTCCAGTGTGCATGACAGATCATGACATATTTGCTGATCTTCCAGGAGCGAGAGACAGTGAAACGAGACCTGCAACGGTGGCTGCGAAAGACCCGAGCGCCGAAAGAACTGACACAGCGCCATGGCCAAGGATCGGTAGCACCTTTGCAGATATATACAAGTTATACAAGTATATATTTATATTGCTGCCACCGGCACCACCATTTGTCGTGCTTACATCAACCCCTTGAAATTCATGTTGCGTTTGTTGCTTTAAATGCTTGGGCTTGGATGCACTAAGCCCAAAAGTATTCAAAAGTATATAGGTTCTATTTGTTGGGAACCCACCCTCAAAGAGCCCTGCGACTGTGCTCACATGAGGCGCGTTGTTGCGGCGTTGGACGAAGTGCTGAAGTCGGGCGAAAACCCATTGGACTTCCGTGAGCCTGTCGCATTGGATTTCTTGCCTACGACGTTGATTCAAGAGCTGCATATGGTGAATACCAGCCACAAGCTGTTCATTCACCCCCTCTTCAGCATGCTAATGGATGAAGCTCGAAGGATGTGCCAGAATGTGTTTCACGTGGATTTTTTTCCTTGCAGCTTTTCGACCGTGCGTTCCCATTGTGCCACTGTTGGCTCAAAGAGTATGGTGTTCGTTATTTTTGCTTTTGTTGCTCCCGGCTCAGGGGAGGAACCAAGGAAGTTTTTGAAGCCAAATGCCAACCAAACGAAACCCAAAACAAGCGCCGTAATGCGGCCTGCAAGGTTTGTTGGTATGGGGGCAAAGGCAGAACTGACCTTGTGCAAAGCCTCAGCAAGGTCCTGACATCAATCCAACCAAGCCGCACATTCGTGGGGAGGCGCTGCACACTCCCATCACTAACCTCATTCCAGCTTTGTTTAATCCGAGGCCAAGCCAGTCAAACCACACCTAACCCTGCAAATATGTAACCCTAGGTCCATAGAATGAGGAACATGCACAACGTATCGGATCACTTGTTGGGTGGCTTTGTTTTGGCATACTCTCCGATTCAGCTTTATCAGGCCAAAGCCCAGCCAGTCAAGCGCCCTAAACAATGTATAGGTCACCCTACAGAAGCAAAGAAATGAACCAAGAAATCACCATAGGCAAGCGGGCATTATTAGGGCCAGAGGCGGACAAGACTCACCGTAAGAGGATATGATATGATTATTCTTTCCTTTCCCTCTACAACTCCTTTCCTTTTCATCCCTCTCTTTCTCTCTCTCCTTCTCTCTCCTTCTCTCTCGCTCTCTCTTGGGCTAGGAACAGGAAAGCACATGACAAGCACGCGGTCGAATGTAGCGTTGTGACGGGCTTTGGGTTTGAGGCGCCCAATTTCAGAAACACTGATTGTGACAGCCCGAAATATGTATATATATATACCATTATATACCCATAATTGTTTAATATTGTTTATGTATGTGTATATAAATATTGTTGTCGCACCACATCATAGCTGAGCTCAGGAAAGACTGGAGTTTGGCGGCCCGCGACTCAGTTGTCACGATTGCTCCAGACATGTCCAAATTTTGGATCACAGAAAGAACATACGAGTGCAAGCGTTTTGTGTACACATCATAGTAGGGCAGTAGGGTACCTCAATCAGATGGTTTCACAAACCCAACGACTCCAACAACCAATGACATCCAATGACCAAAATCATCCCAAGTGGTCAGCGCAGGACGTTTGGCTTCGTCCTTCCAGTCAAAGGTCTACATCCAAGGTGAGGCAATTTTCAGTCAAGGACGGCGAGCTGAAGGCGGAACTGGCTCTAGAGTCAGATAAAAGAGAAAAGCTCGGGATAAAAGGAATCACTGTTTTTCTATGTTCACACATCTTATTAAACAATCAAGATTGGAGTTCGAGGGAGCCGACGCCAACTTGCGATTTGCAAGGCATCTACATCACTACACATGGGGGGTTCTCGTTTCAGCCGTCGAAAAGTGATGCTCGGATGCGAATCAAGTTGCAATGCAGGGAAGTGGAGCAGCCAAGGCACACCCAGTGATTTAAAGTTTGCTCAGGACAGCTCTCATTTCAAAAGCCGCAAGAACAAAAGCGTGCACTGGAACAATGAGAGCTGGTTCGCTGAAGCTTGGCTCGATTCAGATGCCTACTGTCGCAGGGTCGATTGCAGGGTCCTTTGACTCTTGGACAACCACAGATGCAAATTTACGTTAATTTACCTTGGCCGAGCACCACCCCTTGAAACCTAATAAAAAGAAGTCCAGCCACCTGCAGGCACCCTTTCTGAAAGACCACAAGGTGCCACGGAATTTTCAGGAGTTGACCAGGCTCACACCACAACTGCTGGGATTTGCTGGACGATGGCCACACTGCCACTCAGGAGCTGTCGCTCTACTTGCCTAGGACACTGAGATGTATCCATGCAGGTCAATGATTTGATGTGACTACATATAGAAGTATTTAAGTATTTGTGTGTGTGTGTGTGCGACATTGGTGCAACAGCCAACGTAGGTTCAGCATGCCAGCTGATTATTTTGCTGTTCTATTTGTTTGGCTGATTTCTGCCGCTATCAACAGCTTTGCCCGTCGGATTCACGGCAAGAGGATCCACGCATCCACGTTGACAGCTATGACCTATGCAAAATCCCTGATGATGACCTACGAAAACTTCATCGAGGTTCTTCACTGGGAAGTCGTGCTGGAACTGAAATAAGTTTGTTGGTCATTGGTCATTTGCACGGCTGTTGATGGAGCCATTAGTTTCATATGCTGAAAGCCAGGGCCTCCCTGTTTTCCTTCCTACATGTCAGACTTCGTGAAGCTTGCATTCAACATCATTCAACTTTATTTTGACATAGATTTGAGCGAAGTGCTTCATGATTCTGACAGATATATATATATATACATATGTATATAATAATGCTTTGAATTTGCCCAGGTGGCTCAGGATTGGCCAGCTGTGGTGGTGGCAGTTCATGAGCAGCTTGCCAAAGGAGACAAACCAGCGAAAAACTTTCATGCCTGCGAGACATAACTGCAAGAAATTGCGAACAAGTGTTCTGAGAGAGTGGAGGGATAGGAGGTCCCGGTATTGGACTTGGTAATTCGATCCGCAGCTGACCCTACAGGGTTGTTTGAACATGGTTAACAAGCATAAACTTTTGTTTACCTGAAGTAGTCTTGGGGACCAAGCCCCATAAGACCCAAGCTTCCAAGGGCCCTCCTCCATAAAGCAACTCTTTTTGGCAACCTCAGAAGAAGGAAAAGAGAAAGAGTAGAAACACTGACTAGTCTTGTGGACCAATCGTAGAGCAGGGCATTCTTTCTGAGGAACGTGTGTGCCATCTTAGTGGGCCATTCCTTCCTAATGTATTGCCTTTGCAGCTTGTGCACGAGAAACTCTAGAGTGGCCCATGTGCAATCTTACAATCCTAGCCTGTAAAACTCTACGGTGACCCATGTGCCATCATGTATACCTTGGTTACAAAATGTCACTGCTCGCTGACTGTCGAGGCTGTTGTTGAGGCTGTTGCCATGGCTCCTTCCGTATGTATAGCCCATGTGCCATCTTACAATCCTAGCGCCATTTTTTCTTGTTTCTTTCGATGTGCCATCTTACACGTCGCAGGTTTGGTGCTACTAGGCTCTCCTGTTAATGAGGTCGTGGAACCTCCGGTGCCATCTTACATTCTTTTTACAGGGACCCCCTATAATTCCTTGCACACCACGAAGTGCACCTTTTCGAGGCTAAAAAGGGGTCTTCACGATTCATGTCAATAGGGATGGGGTCCCAGTATAGTCGCTATACAGGTACATGCCATATACTTTTGGCTCAAGTGCCCAACCAGGTAAAAAGGAGCTTTAGCGCGCGAGCTTCATGTTGACCTAAGAGCTAGAACGGGGCCAGGGCACACCTTTCCATCCGTTCGCAGGTTATCAGCCGTATCCAGACTCCTTTGAGCTGGGTACGAGCTGCGGCCTTACACAACACCATCTAAGCGCACACGCATCGGATAGACCAGTTACCCTCAGTCACTGAAGATGGACCAATCCGACGCCAGCACTGCATCTTTTGGAGCAGCTGCTGCGGCCGCAGATCGGATGAGTGCATCCCACAACTCTAGTCCTGGCACGATCGAAGTGGAGACTCTGACAGCGGTGAGAGAAGATGCGACAGGTAGAGCACGAAGTCGTTCCCCGTCAGCGCACTCGACACCACCGTGGGGGACACCGAGATCAGGCCGTAGCCCTAGGGAGACAAGGAGGAGGACTGACACCGGAGCTGTGAGAGTGTTAGCATTGCAGGATGGGTCAGCTGTACCAGTGCCGTCGGACAGCGAAGCTGGAGATCGAGCAAGGGCAAGCACTGACAACCTACAACTAGCACGGGCCGATGGAGACCTGAATGCGAAGTGTGCGCAACTACTTGCCGAAGTGCATATGTTGAACCACCAAAACGCATGGATGGTCGAATGTGAGCAGAGACAGAACCAGATTATACAACACGAGACCGAAGTCCACGAAGTAGTGATGGCACACCTCGAAGAATGTTATGTCGAAGGATATGGAAATCAACGAAGAATCACCCAACTTACAGAATCCAGAGACTGTTTGCTCTCAGCAGCACACGACCTGCAATACCAGATGGACACTGATCGTGTGGCAATGCGGGATCGTCTCACCCAGTTAGGGAAGTACGCTGATCGCAACAGCGCAGAGATGGTTAGTCAAGTTGTGAACATCGGCACGGAAGAGATCCAGGCTATATCGGCGGAAAGAGATCGAGCCGTAACCGAGGTCATGACTACAATCGCAGATGCTGAGAACGTCAAGGATCTATGTAGACAGGAGTTAGTTGGACTACAAAGGCAGAGTGCCAGAAACAAACACGAATATGCTGAAGAGATGAAGATGAGGGAATCAATGTATGCAAACAAGATCAAATGGTTATCAGAAGAGAATGAGGAGCTCAACAACCGATCTAATACTCAGGACAAGTTCATCTTGAGCATCAGAGAGCAATTGAAGAAGGCGAACGAGGAGTTGACTCAGACGAGGATTCAAGGATCCGATCGACCGTTTCAACCATCCAGCGCCGAACTCAAGAAGGCCGAAGTCAAGGTGAACATGTTGGAAGAGGACATTCTACGTAAAGAGAGGATGCTGAAACGTCTTCAGGAAGAATTGATCGAATCAAGCGCAACCAGTGTGGAGAATGAGATGATGACCAAGCTTAGAGCGGAACTTGAACGTACTGAAAAGTTATTAAGGTCCGAGGAGAAAGAGGCAATTGAGTACTACGAAGGTATGATGCAGAACCAACAGGACATGATGGAATTCGAAGCGCATGCGTCACGGCTCAGAGATGAAAGGAATAAGTACCGGAAGAGGTACGAAGAGGAGCGCACAAGTGCAGAGAATGCAGCCGCAACCGAACATGGTGCCGCTTCATCCTCTAGCTCAGGCGGCTCCAAGATATCTCGGAAGGAACACGAGAAGATCAACATCCCTGCATGGCCCAAGATACACGACCTGGAGGTTTGGAAATCCCAGGTTGTAGCGGCAGTCGTGACGGCATCGGGCGACGAGAAACAAGAAGATTGGATCCAATGGCTCTCGGATGCCTTCAGATCACCATATGACCCATTTCTACTCGAGACATCAGGCGAAGCAAGGTTCGCTAGCATAGATGCTAAGCTAGGTATCACCCTACATACGATCATCCACGCAGCAGGTGAGAGATCTCATGACGTACAACTGAAGGTGAGGCAGATGATGCAGAGACGTGCGAGAGGCACAACTCCTGGAATGGTCAAGGGACGAGAAATGTTAGCGTTGTTCGTCGACAGTTTCCGGAGTGCCGACAACGTTGATGTGATGTATGCATCCAAGCACTTATTCGATCTAAAGTTCCCTGGGGATAATCAACTATCCAGATTCCTTGGACAGTGGGATGAGATCATATCAGGTATGGATGCGGATGACATGCTTCCTGACAAAGCACTTCGCAACCTGCTTTGGGATAAGATTAAGGATTCCAAAGTTATGGCGTTAGACTTGTCTGTGTACGACAACATGTTGGATAAGGATCCGGATAAGACCTACCAGAAGTTACGAGAGATCATGACGAAGTGGATACGGAAATCAATTGAGACCACAAACAAGAAAGAGAGGGAAAAAGCTTTTGGGAACATCGTGAAAGCCACACCAGCGGCGGAGAAGAAGGACCCTAAAGCGAAACCCAAGAATACCAAGACCGATCCACCGAAACATGACGCCGCTCCAGTACTTCCTCAGGCTAATCCGAAGGACCACAACAAGAAGGACAAGAAGCAGGATCGTGGAAGATCAGCCACGAAGAGCCCAAAAGGGGATCGAGGCAGGTCAGCGACTCCAGCAGATACGTCCAAGATAGGATGCGCTTTCCACTTCCATGGAAAAAACGGATGTTCTAGAGGAGACAAATGCAAGTTTAGTCACCAAGAGAAGCACAAGAGTTCTGCTAAGAAACCGGAAAACCTCAAGGGTGACAGATCAAAGAGTCCCGGTGACAGGAGCAGTAGCCCTAAGCCAATGAAGGATCAGGTCTGTTGGAATTGGCAGAAAGGATCGTGCAAGTTCGGGGACAAATGTCGACGTCAGCATCACGCTGCTCCTGCTACAAAACAAGAGGCTAGAGGCAAAGCCAAGCCCAAACCGGCTGCGCCAGCCTTCATGCTTTGCGGAGACATCGAGAGTGATGACGAGGACGTACAACCCGCACTTCCCAACGTACAACAAGGTAAGCTGGCGCTTCGCTTTAAAGTCAGATTCGATGACCAGGCGAATGTGACCACGTTCACCTGCGATCCTGGTAATGAGCTAAACAACCGTCCCCTCAGGAAGAAGAGGAATGAGGTGCAGAAGGTGGATACCGAGCTCATTTCGTCGTTGAGAGCCCTCAGAGTGAGCAACATAGCTGCACGAGTAGCACATGCCAAAGGTAAGATGATGGAGCTATTCTATGCTGAACACATTGCCAAGGCATGGATACAAATCACTCAAGATGAAGGAATCGAGGTGAACGTCGACCTGTCTGATTTCAACACCAGAGAGGTAGTAAGGAAGGATTTTGTCGACTACACGATACCAGGAACCACGATGTTCATGGCTGTGGAGAGGTATGATGGACCACCAATACGCTTCATCATGGACACGGGATGTGGACACGATTTGATGTCAAGAGAGAAGGTCAATGCCATGGGCCTTACCACCAAGGAAGGACCCAAATCCGTGAGCTTCATGACAGCGAATGGTGTAACTAGTACATCAGAGATGGTGGACATCAATGTGGACGAACTACCCATGAGGTCCGAGGCACACGTGTTGGAAAGCACACCATCAGTCTTTTCCATTGGGAAACGGTGCATGGAACAAGGGTACTCATTCATATGGCCGGCAAATCAATTGCCATACCTCATCGACCAGAACGCGAACAAGATTCCGCTATCGGTGCATGACAACATACCCTACATCAAGGTGAATGATGATGACGGGAGATGTTTACCAAGACCAGACGGCTTGGCTACGATACTGCATCGCATACTGTCAGGTGTGGGGCATGAAGACGAGGTCACAACAGGTCAGGAGACACAACAAGAGGAACTTCCGCCCAAGAAACCACGGAGACGGAGGAGAAAGAAGAAAGATAACCAGAAAGGTCAGGGTGGTGAATCTGATATCAATCCAGCTGTTGCAGGCGTCGAAGGAGAACCAGAGGAACACGGTGATGACAGGTATTCTCCTGAAGAGGAATATGACGGGGAAGACCCGAGATTCGATCGTGATCACGAAGGTCAACCTGAAGAAGCCGGAGACGACGAACATGGAGGTGATGCGGATTCTGAACGAGGAGAGAGTGACATTGATGAAGATGAAGAGGGACTATTGGAAGTCGATGTGGTTGACGGGGAAACCAGACTATCAAAACCAGGAGTGCT